ATGGCTATCATATCTCCTCTCAGCCTTCTCTTCTTCAGGCTAAACATGCCCAGCTCCTTAAGCCGCTCCTCATAGGGCTTGTTCTCCAGACCTTTTATCATTTTAATCGCTCTCCTCTGGACACATTCCAGCTTGTCAATATCTCTCTTGAATTGTGGTGCCCAGAATTGGACACAATATTCCAGGTGTGGTCTAACCAAAGCAGAATAGAGGGGTAGCATTACTTCCCTAGATCTAGACACTATGCTCCTATTGATGCAGGCCAAAATCACATTGGCTTTTTTTTTGCCGCCACATCACATTGTTGGCTCATGTTTAACTTATTGTCCATGAGGACACAAATATAGAAGAACATCGACCTTGGAAAACCATGACTCCCAGGACTGCACAGCATGGAGACATGGCATGATGATGATGATGATGATGATGATGATGATGATGATGATGAGGATAAAGATAATAAATAATAATAAAGTCGACAACAGATCCCAAATGTAGACTCTGCAAGGAAGCAAATGAAACAATAAATCACATCCTCAGCAGCTGCAAGAAGATTGCGCAGACAGACTACAAGCAGAGGCATAACACAGTTACTCAGATGATTCATTGGAACCTGGGCCACAAATACCATCTGCCTGTGACAAAGAACTAGTGGGAGGGATCACAAGCCTGAAAAAGTTACAGAAAATGAACACGTCCAACTACTCTGGAACTTCCAAATTCAGACAGACAGAGTTTTGGAGCACAATACTCCTGATCTCACGATCGTGTTAAAAAACAAAGTATGGATTGTTCAATGTATTGTCGAAGGCTTTCATGGCTGGAATCACTCAGTTCTTGTGGGTTTTTTCGGGCTATATGGCCATGTTCTAGAGGCATTTCTCCTGACGTTTCGCCTGCATCTATGGCAAGCATCCTCAGAGGTGAGGTCTGCTGGAATTGGGTTGTTGATGTTGCAATCCCAGGTGACAGCAGGATTGAAGAGAAACAACTGGAAAAGCTGACTCGATATGATTTAAAGATCGAAATGCAAAGGCTCTGGCACAAGCCAGTCAAGGTGGTCCCAGTGTCCTYGGCCTGCACTTAAACACAATCGGCRCTGACAAAATTTACCATCTGCCAGCTGCAAAAGGCCACCTTACTGGGATCTGCACACATTATTTGCCGATACATCACACAGTCCTAGACACTTGGGAAGGATCCGACGTGTGATCCAATATGACAGCCAGCAGAAAGATCTTGTTTGCTGTGGACTCATCTTGTTGCGGTTCAAATAATAATAATAATAATAATAATAATAATAATAATAATAATAATAATAATAATGGCATTTAAAGTGGGTCCCAACTACATTTATTCTCCAGTACAGATGCACCCAGAGGAGGGTGTGGATCTTGGCAAACTATAGCCCCCAGCACTGCATAGTATGGAGCTATGTTATTTAAAGTGGGGCCTGATTGATTTTATTCTCCAGTGCAGATGCACCCAGAGATAGGCTTGGCTCCTCCCACGATTTCCCCTCCCACAAATTGGGGAAACGTTTCATTTTAAATGCTATCACATTACAGAATTGACCAAACATCCGGATCATTACCAAATATCCACTTCCCCACATTTGAAAAGTATGCTGGGCCCTGCACTGAAAATATGCAAAGAATGCTGTATCCTACACTTGAATCCAACCTAATGTGTTGAGAACAGTGGCTTAGCACATTTTAAGTGTAGCACTCAGCGGTGTTTAGTAAATGTGATGAAGTGGTAAAACAGAAAGTGAACAGGAAGGCTCCAAGGTTGCCCACTCTTGCTTTAAACACAGTGTTTCTTAACCTTCCTAATGCTGTGACTCCTAAATACCTGATACTTCCAAATTTTAATACTTGTGGGCTTGGGGGTTTGGTGGCCATTGACCTTAAGCTTTGGAGTTGTAGTTCATCTACATTCATGGGCACTGTGGACTCAAACAATGATAGATCTGGACCAAACTTGGCACAGATACTCAATATACCCAAATTTGAACACTGGTGGAGTTTGGGGAAAATAGACCTTGACATTAGGGAGTTGGGATTTATAGTTCACCTACAATCATTCTGGACTCCAACGAAGGAATTGAATCAAACTTGGCACACATAACTCCCATGACCAACAGAAAATACTGGAAAGGCCTGGTAGGCATTGGCCTTGAGTTTTGGAGTTGTAGTTCACTCACATCCAGAGAGCACTGTGGACTCAAACAATGATGTATCTGGACCAAACTCTACACGAATACTCAATATGCCCAAATCTGAACACCAGTGAAGTTTGGGGAAAATAGACCTTGACATTTGGGAGTTGTAGTTGCTGGTATGTATAGTTCACCTACAATCAAAGGGCCTCTTGAACCCCACCAATTGGGCCAAACCTCCCACACAGAACTCCCATGACCAACAGAAAATACTGGAGGGATTTGGGGGGAATTGATTTTGGGGAGATGTAGTTCGCCTACCTGCGGAGAGCACTGTGTTCCTAAGACCATCAGAAATATGTGTTTTCTGATGGTCTTTGGCGACCTCTCTGACATCTCCCCTTGTGACCCCCCCAGGGGTCCCAACTCCCAGATTGAAAAATGTTGTACTAAAAGATAGGGTATGCCGCAGGTGTGGGTAGGTGTGGGAGGGGGGAATCTGATTTGGGAAGAAAGATTCAGGGCTGATGTTCAGTGCCAGGCCACAGCTGGGTCTTTCTGGCCAGCGTCTTCGTAGCCCTGTTGGCACAGATGTTTTCCCTCTTTCCACCCACCTGTGCTTGCGACGAATTCTTTTGGATGGAGGGGTTGGGTTTTCCACAGCTCGGAACAGCTGCTACAGTGCTGGGTTTCAGGGGAGGAAGAGGGTTTCTCTGGAAGGAATCCAACCATAGCTATTCTGAGTATATCCAGTCATAGCTTCAGGGAGGGAGATGGGGAGGGGGCTTGCTTGGACCCCTTTTAACCATAACTGTACTTGTGAGTTTTCCAGGCTGTATGGCCATGTTCCAAAAGCATTCTCTCCTGATGTTTCGCCTGTATCTATAGCAGTCATCCTCAAAGGTGAGGATTTGTCATCTTGATCACATTCTGATGTCCTGCAATCATCACAGGCTGATAAGAGGTTTGTTTTTCACGCCAGGAGCGACTTGAGAAACTCCAAGTCACTTCTGGCATGAGAGACTTGGCCTTCTGCAAGAATGTTGCCCAGGGGATGCCCAGATGTTTTACCATCCCGTGGGAAGCTTCTCTCATGTCCCCTCATGGGAAGCTGGAGCTGACAGACAGGAGCTCACCCTGCTCCCCGGATTTGAACTGCTGATCTTTCAAACTTTTTTCTGCTTGAGGCAAGTGTGAACATTGCAATTGGCCACCTTGATTAGCATTTAATGTTATTGCAGTTTCAAGGTCTGGCTTCTTACTGCCTGGGGGAATCTTTCATTGGGAGGTAATTAGCTGTTCCTGATTGTTTGTTGATAGTAATTTCCCTATTTTTGAATGTTGTTCTTTGTTTACTGTCCTGATTTTAGAGTTCTTTAATACTGGTGGCCAGATTTTGTTCATTTTCATGTTTCCCTCCTTTCTGTTGAAATTGTCCACATGCTTATGGATTTCAATGGCTTTTCTGTGTAGTCTGACAAGGTGGTTGTGAGAGTTGTCCAGCATTTCTGTGGTCTCAGATAATATGYTGTGTCCAGGTTGGTTCATCAGGTGCWCTKCTATGGCTGACTTCTCWGGTTGARTTAGTYTGCARTGCCTTTCATGTTCCTYGRTTYRKGTTTGGRCAATGCTGCTGCATTTAGTGGTCCCTATGTAGACTTGTCCACAGCTGCAYRGTRTAYRGTRGACTCCTGYAGARGTGAGAGGCTCCCTCTTGTCCTTTGCTGAACGTAGCATTTGTTGGATTTTCTTAGTGGGTCTGTAGATCCTTTTATAGAAAAGAGTTGGAAGAGACTTCKTGGGCCATCCAGACCAACCCCCTGCCAAGAAGCAGGAAAATCGCATTCAAAGCACCCCCGGCAGATGGCCATCCAGCCTCTGTTTCAAAGCCTCCAAAGAAGGAGCCTCCACCGCACTCTGGGGCAGAGAGTTCCACTGCTAAACAGCTCTCACAGTCAGGAAGTTCTTCCTAATGTTCAGACAGAATCTCCTTTCTTGTAGTTTGAAGCCATTGTTTCACGTCCTAGTCTCCAGGGCAGTAGAAAACAAGCTTGCTCCCTCCTCCTATGACTTCCTCTCACATATTTATGCAAGGCTCTCATCATGTCTCCTCTCAGCCTTCTCTTCTTCAGGCTAAACATGCCCAGCTCTTTAAGCCTCTCCTCATAGGGCTTGTTCTCCAGACCCATGATCATTTTAGTCGCGCTCCTCTGGGCACATTCCAGCTTGTCAACAGCTCCCTTCAATTGTGGTGCCCAGAATTGGACACAGTATTCCAGATGTGGTCTGACCAAGGCAGTTGTGTTTCTTCATCAGCTTCCTTATGCAGTCTGTAGTTCCCTTGATGGATGTGCTTAAAAGCTGAGGATGGGGAAGGGGAGTAGAAGAGAAGGGGGGTGTAAGCTTGGCTGCTCTCAATGTCTGAGCGAGCAGGAAGGGGAGTGAAGGCCGTAATGGGGGGGTGGTCTACTTTGAGGCTCAGTCTCAGCGCCTGGTTTTGGGGAGGAGAGCAGAGGCGAGGAAAAACTCGAGAAGAAGCAGCAAGTCTCCTCCTTGGGGTGTGAACAACAGGTATCTCAGTGCAGCCAGGTATCCTAGGAGGGCATCACCTAGTGTGGTGGGCACGGGGCTCTATGGGATAGTGCAACCATTCAGAGTTGCATGGGACAAATGCAGCGGAGGGCACTAGTGAGCAAACCCGGGAAAAGTTTGGCGACTTGTAGAAGAGGAGAGAGAAGGAGGAGGGTTTCGGGCCGCAGGGCGGATGCGCTGCCAAATGACAGTGCTGCCTGACGTCTTAACAAATGCTCACTCCAAGGGGGGCTGGGTTGGGTTGGGTTGTGGTGGCCGCTTGGGGGACTTCAACAGAACCTACTTTCTCGCTGGCACCCAGTTTTGGGGTGTGGGGTTGCAGAGGGGTGGAGCTGTCCTTCCAAGGAAGGTCTTACCAACCCAGTGCCAAGGAAGGAAGGCGACTGGGTTTCCTCTGAGCTGGTGAAAAGGAGCCGAAGAGTTAACATCTCCGACTGTGGTCCCTCGTAAACATTGTTGTTGGCTCGGTGCCCACCCACCCCCTACCCCCACCCCGCTGCCCAGTGGACTGCTTTCAATTAGCCGTAGGTCCCTGTGTTCACGGTGGGTGCCGTGCTCTATCCCCGGCTGGTCTCTTCGTTTGCTCACTCATTCGTTTGTTCATTCACTGGGAGACATGGTCCTGGATTGGCACCTCTGGCACCTCCTGATTGCCATGGTCTTCCTGCTCAGCTGGTGTCACCTGCCAGGGGATTCCCAGCGACTCAAGGTCTTCTTTACTCCCATGGTCTGCCGTGTGCATTGCAATGGAGGGCGTTGCACTAACCACTGTGAGCAGGGCAATGCTACCACCTTGTACAGTGGGGAGAACGGACCACCAGCTGAGGGAGGCCCTGGATTCCGCGTCTGTGAGTATTTCTTCAGGGACCTCGGAGACCACTTGGTCAGGTGGTCGCACTCAATGGTCCTTGTGATCTTTTCCAACTCTGAATCTATGATTCTGTGACTTCTTCTCTCACCTTGTCATGGTAGTTGTATATGTCACCTGCTGGACCAGATTCTAGGTAGGCTAACTGGGCAGCTCCTGTAGGTGAGCAGAGTGCAATCCGTAAGCATATTTCAGATACAGTGTCACTCTGTTTCATGCTCTCTCTTTCTCTTAGTTCTGGGCAGGTTTCCATGCATCCTGATACTCATCTATCAGCAATTCACTCCCTGTACTGGATTGCTATGAGTTTTCTGGGCTGTATGGCTATGTTCCAGAAGCATTCTCTTCTGATGTTTCGCCTGCATCTATGGCAACCACCCTCAGAGGTTGTGAGCTGTGTTGGAAATTAGGCAAGTAGGGTTTATATATCTGTGGAATGTCCAGGGTGCTTAAGGCAGGCATGTTGCAGTTGGTCACCTTGATTAGCCATTAATGGCCTTGTAGCTTCAAGGTCTGGCTGCTTACTGCTTGGAGGAATCCTTGGTTGGGAGGTGATTAGCTGGCCCTGATTGTTTCTTGTTTGGAATTCCCCTGTTTTTGGGTGAAAGAACTTTTGTCTGTTTGAGGCAAGTGTGAATGTTGCAGTTGGCCACCTTGATTACCATTTCATTGCCTTGTAGCTTCAAGGTCTGACTGCTTACTGCTTGGGGGAATCCTTTGTTTGGAGTTTATTAGCTGGCCCTGATTGTTTCTTGTTTGGAATTTCCCTGTTTTTGGGTGAAAGAACTCTTGTCTGCTTGAGGTACATGTGAATGTTGCAATTGGCCACCTTGATTAGTATATAATGGCCTTTCAGCTTCAAGATCTGACTGCTTACTGCCTGGAGGAATCCTTTATTGGGAGGTGATTAGCTGACCCTGATTATTTCTTGTCAAAATTCCCCTATTTTTGAGTGTTGTTCTTTATTTACTGTCCTGATTTTAGAGTTTTTAAATACTGGTAGCCAGATTTTGCTCATTTTCATGGTTTCCTTCTTTCTTTTGAAACTGTCCACATGCTGGTGGATTTCAATGGCTTCTCTGTGTAATCTAACATGGTAGTTGTTAGAGTGGTCCAACATTTCTGTGTTCTCAAATAATATGTTGTGTCCAGGTTGGTTCATCAGGTGCTCTGCTATGGCTGACTTCTCTGGTTGAGTTAGTTTGCAGTGCCTTTCATGTTCCTTGGTTTGGGTTTGGGCAATGCTGCTGCGTTTGGTGGTCCCTATGTAGACTTGTCCACAGCTGCATGGTATACAGTGGACTCCTGCAGAAGTGAGAGGATCCCTCTTGTCCTTTACTGAATGTAGCATTTGTTGGATTTTCTTCGTGGGTCAAGGAACATGAAAGGCACTGCAGACTACTTCTATCAGAGAAGTTAGTCATAGCAGAGCACTTGCTGGACCACTCTAACAACTATCATGCCAGCTAACAACTTCCGACAAAGGATTCCCCCAGGCAGCAACCGGCGAGGTTTTAAAGCTGCAAGGCCATTCAATGCTAATCAAGGTGGCCAATTGCAACATTCACACCTGTTCCCAACAGACAAGAATTTTTCTCCCACCGTGGACATTACACAGATATATAAACCCCACTTGCCTAGTTTCCAACAGACCCCTCAACCTCTGAGGATGCTTGCCATAGATGTGGGTGAAATGTCAGGAGAGAATGCTTTTAGAACATGGCCATACAGCCCAGAAAACTCACAGCAACCCAGTACAGGGAAGGAATTTGCTGATAGATGAGAATCAAGATGCATGGGAACCTGACCAGGCAGGAATAAGCTAGACCTTGAAACTGCTAGGCCATTAAATGCTAATCAAAGTGGCCAATTGAAAAATTCAAACTTGCCTCAAGCAGACAAAAGTTCTTGCTTCCACCCTGGACATTCCACAGATGTATAAACCCCATTTTCCTAGTTTTCAACAGACCCCTAAATCTCTGAGTATGCTTGCCATAGATATGGGTGAAATGTCAGAAGAGAAGGCTTCTGGAACATGGCTATACAGCCCAGAAAACTCACAGCAACACAGTGCCTTCGACAATACATAATCCCTGAACCCTTGCTTTTTGGGCCCGGCTTCGACTTATGCCCTTCCAGGTGACACTGTATGGGCATAGAGGTCTTGGGAGAGATATTTGGGACCAGCTGCTGACTTCTTGCTCATGTTTTGCACCAGTTTCTTGTCCTTGGCATCAACGCAGGCACACATCTGCCAGGTTTCTGGCAATTTCTCAAGAGCAGAGCAGGGCAGTATTCTCTCTCCCCCTTCCAAGCCACTGGACCAGCTGTCCTCAGCTGGCCTTCCTTCCTTCTTCCCTCCTCATCTTCTTCATCTGTCCTGCCTGGCTCTTCTCCACTTGCTTGCCCACTTGCCCATGCCTGTCTTCGGCTGCAAAGGACATCCACTACCCTTTACTTGAATCAGTGCCTCAAATGTTCCTGTCCTGTAATATAGCCGGGCAGGTGCCATATATGTCACTGGGGCATGATCCACACAGGACTAGTGGTGTGAAACATTGGAGACATATTAGGTCATGTGGGGGAAACAGCAGTAGGAGCTTGTGGTGGAAGGAACCTGAACATAATTATTCTCAGGATATTTCTGGAATGAGTTCCAGGCAATACATTTTAAGGTCAAGATAAAGGTTTCCCTTTGACATTAAGTCCAGTCGTATCCGACTCTGGGTGGTGGTGCTCGTCTCCATTCTAAGCTGAAGAGCTGGCGTTGTCCATAGACGCCTCCAAGGTCATGTGGCCAGCATGACTGCATGGAGTACCATTACCTTCCCGCTGGAGCAGTACCATTTGATCTACTCACATTTGCATTTTTTTCCGAAGCTGGAGCTAACAGTGGGAGCTCACCTGCACCCTGGATTCGAACTACGAACCTTTCGGTCCGCATGTTCAGCAGCTCAGCGGTTTAACCCGCTGTGCCACTGGGGACAATGTATTTTAGATAGGGGCAAATGAGTGAGAGCTCCTAAAACTGGAATGAGGTTGAAATGTTGCCTTCACCTCCCCTATTGAGCTCCCAGAGGTGCACCCTTGTGCCGACAGGACTGAAGACTGACAGGTCGGAGGTTCGAATCTGGGGAAAATGCGGATGAGCTCTGTCTGTCAGCTCTAGCTCCGCATGCGGGGACATGAGAGAAGCCTCCCACGAGGACGATAAAACATCAAAATATCCATATGTCCCCTGGGCAACATCCTTGCAGATGGCCAATTCTCTCACACCAGAAGCGACTTGCAGTTTCTCAAGTTGTTCCTGACACACACACATCTTCCCTATTTATGCTGCTCCAAACCTTTTATATAGTGACCATTTCTAGAAGCTGTTTGGCATGAGGGATGTGTGCTTGCTGCCATATATAATCCTATTCTCCTTTTCTCCTTGCTCCTGGCATATGTTTCCATTTGCTGCTGCTTCTTCCCTGCTTCTTCCTCCTCCTCCTCCTCTTTGCATCCTATTGCCAGGGCTTCATTCCGAAGACCCCAGATCTACCCAGAGCCTCTTTCAGGGCTGGAGTGGAGAATGCGGAGGATAAACAGAAGACTGGCATTGTGCCACAGCCAGATGGAAGCAGCTGTTTTCAGCAGGCGAGAAGCCAGGCTGCCTGGGCTCTATCCCTGGGTCCAGATTCATAGAGAGGCTCTTGCCTGAGGGCAGGAGATGTGTGTGTTGCTGTGCGGCCGTGTGGCAAAGAGGTTGGCAGAATGCAAAGCTCCCAATTTGCCTTTGATATCCCTAAGAAGCACCATGGACTGTGCAACATGGTTGGTTTGGAAGGGATGTATTAGACCAATGTTTCTCAACCTGGGGGTTAGGACCCCTGGGGGGATCGTGAGGGGGTGTCAAAGGGGTCGCCAAAAACCATCAGAAAACACAGTATTTTCTGTTGGTCATGGGGGTTCTGTGTGCCAAGTTTGGCACAGTTCCGTCGTAGGTGGTGTTCAGAATGCTCTTTGATTGTAGGTGAACTATAAATCCCAGGAACTACAACTCCCAAATGTCAAGGTCAAGGTCTATTTTCCCCATTTGGGAATGTTAAGTATTCTTGCCAAGTTTGGTCCAGTGTTTGAGTCCTACCAGCGTTCACATTTGGGCATATTGATTATTTGTGCTAAGTTTGGTCATTGTTTGAGTCCACAGTGCTCTCTGGATGTAGGTGAACTACAACTCCACAACTCAAGGTCAGTGCCCACCAAGCCCAGTATTTTCTGTTGATCATGGGAGTTTTGTGTGGCAAGTTTGGTTCAATTTCCTTGTTGGTGGGGTTCAGAATGCTCTTTGATTGTAGGTGAACTATAAATCCTAGCAACTACAACTCCTAAATGATAAAATCAATCCCCCAACCCCACCAGGATTTGGGCATATTGCGTATTTCTGCCAAATTTATTCCAGTGAATGAAAAGACATCCTGCATGTGTGATGCTTACGTTATGATTCAGAACAGTAGCAAAATTATAGTTTTGAAGTAGCAATGAAAATAATGTTATGGTTGGGGGTCACCACAACATGAGGAACTGTATCAAGGGGTCGTGGCATTAGGAAGGTTGAGAACCACTGTTAGACTTTTCATTCACTTGCCTTCTCCATTGTGCTGTTTTCCTCAATTTAATGTTACCCAGATCTGGCGTGTGTGCGCAAAATGGGGAGTAAAGATGGACCATGCAGTTCTGTTCTGGCACGTTCTGTCTCTCTTGCTTTTGCCGCAGATTCTCCTTTTATTGGGACTGCAACATTTATGGAGAAGGGCTGAGGTGGAACATGCCTTTGGCTTCCCACACGCTAATTGATATCAGCCTCAGTCCTCCAGGGAGTTTTCTTCCACATGCCTTGCAGAAAGGAACGGAGCTGTGCTACTCGTTTTGAGAAAGCCGCTGCATGGAGGGGAGAGCCCTGATGGGACCATGGCCTCTTGGCAGATTGGTCAGTGA